CACTAATGGTGTAAGCCTCACAAACATGTCTATTTATTTGCTGTGTCTGTAGTGCCCAGAATAGCACCTGCTACGTAGTGTATCAGAGCATATTTCTTGTTAGTAAAGGAATGAATAACTGCTCTGTGCCCTTGAAGACTGCGGGGGCCATTAGTGTTGTCAACTACTCCCAGCTTTTTTCCTGTTCTGAGGACATGGAAGGGTTGCAGTTCTTGTTGCCCTGTACAGAGTGGGACCAATGACTTGTGAGCAGAAGTGAGCTCTGAAATGCTGACGTGGGATCCTCCAGGCTCCCAGGATGTCCCCTGGCAGTGACTGGCAACATTAAACATGGTGGCTGACCCCTCAGCAAGGGACCCTGAGTGACTCTGAAGAACAGCCTCCCTCTGTAAACCTGCAAAGGGCATGTCACGTGAATAAGCAAAGAAGTCTCTGCTGTTTAGAGGCACTGAGATTTGCAGCTTGCTTGTTGCTTGTTACTGCCGCATAACTTCACCTGGTCTGATACTGAGCCTATGCGGACAGTTGTACCACTGTCAGCATTCCTGGGAGTTCCCTAAAAGTTTTGGGGATTTCAGGCAACTTCAAATGGCTCAAAACTAAACAAAACCAAAAAAAAACTTCCCCTCCAGAAAGTCAGCCCATGTCTGTCCTTCCGTTTTCCTTCCTCTTGAGAGCCCGGAGGAGAGGGAGGGGGTTAGGGACAGCCTTGAAACAACTTACCCAGTGGAGGAACCAACACACTCGGGGACCACCTCTGAAGTGATCTCACATACCACACACGCCAAACCTGCTGTCATTAGCCTTCCCCTTAGTCAAAAATAAAAGCAAAACACCCACTCTGTCGGGAGTGAGTCACAAACAGAAAAAGTCAGCGGCTCTAAGCCAGGAGGATCTGCTAACAGGGGGAAAACTCCCAGTGGAGGTGTTCCAGCAGACGCTGGGTCGTAGGCTCGTAGCCTGGGTGACCAAAGGCAGATCCAGAAATTTGTCTTTCTGAGCATCAGATGCTGCCTCGGGCAATGTCTTGACCCTATAATGAGACTAGTGCCTGCTTAATACTTCTTCCCTGGGGAAGAGAAGGACTGCGTGTGAGTGTGTGTGTGAATGTGTGAGTGTGGTGAGAGGGAAGGCTGTTTCAGGGCAGAAGGGAACTGGCCTGGGAAAGTCAGCACCACAGGAGGCAGGTCCCTACGGGGCACCTCCTCCGGAGGTGGAAGGGAGGCAACTACCTTCTTTGACCTCAACTTCTTGGCCTAGGGAGATGAACCTTGAGATAAACTTCTGGGATTGGTTACATGAAGTTATATTATCTCCATTTTCATCTCTGTTCTCATCCCAGAAACCAAGCGTAGGGCTTGGGTCCTGCACGTTCTCCTCCCCCATTCAGTGCGGGGAACAGCCACCTCCACGCCACCAAGTCAGAGCTACAGCAGGAAAAAGCAAGCTGGAGCATTTTTCTGCAAAGCTCAGGGAACTGAAAAGGGGTTTTATGCCTGATCATTCCAGATAGTCCTCGGTTTCTCATGGCCAGAGCTGACGCTCCCCCCTGTGAGCCTCGCTATCCAGGGAATAGGGAATATGGGCTGGGGTGGGGGTGGGGGTCAGAGATGGGGATGGTTGGTAATTATCTCCCAAATGGCACTTCAAAACTTATCATGGAGGTCAGCAGGCGGCATCGTGGTTAAGATGCTGGACTCTCATGTGGCCGACCACAGTTCAAGTCCCTGACCCAGTGGCCTGAAACTACACCAGATGCGTGTATGTGCGTGCCCAAAATCCCAAGAGAAGGGATTGTGGTGTGGTCATCCCCCTGGGGGGTGATTTCTTACTGTCTCTCTGGAGAGCGGACGTGCCCTATACTACATCCCCTCTCAAAAAAACCACACACACACACACACAATGCTCAACACAATGTTCAGTGATGAACTCTGTTCAATCCCTGTTGCTTCCTGCAACTCCAAGTTGTCACTCAGAGCTTGAGGTTGGTCCGTGCCCTTGACAGCACCGAGCCCACTGCACTCCTGGGAGGGAACTGTATTTCTTTTTTTTCCCAAGAGTTTTTTGATATAGGGCGCGTGTGCTCGCCAGAAAAACAGAGAGAGACAGAGAGACAGAAAGACAGTGAGAAATCACCCCCCAGATGGCCACACCGCAATCCCTTCTCCTCCATTCTCCTCTCGGGATCCTGGGCAAGCATGCACATGCACCTGGCGTGAGTTTAAGCCACTGGATCTGGGACTCAAACTGCGGTCGATTACATGGGAGTCCAGCGACATAGCCATTACGCCAACTGCTGGTCCCGAGGGAACTGTATTTCCAAACAAGTCTCAAGTCTGCAGAGACGGAAAACAGCAGGCGGATACGTGCAGATATTTATATGCGCTACAGGTTTCTGCAACAACCCAAGGGACCTGCTTGCAGAAAAGAGAGAGAAATGGGAATGAATAAGAGCCCACAAAAGCAAATTGGGCTTTCTCTTTTACACATTCAGCAGACTCATTCACGGACAGCAGACCCCATGGGAGTTTTCTCAGTCAGGCCACACTGAAGTGCCCTGTCCTGGGAGTGGGGGGGTGGGATGTGGAGATGCTTATTCTCTTATCCCCACCTTAGACCCAGAGCAGTGGTTCTCCAGTGGGGTTCCTGGACTAGCAGCATCGCCATCAGCAGGTGGTGGCTGAAAATGTAAAACCCTTCCTTCAGGCCTCCTGGAGCAGACACTGAGGGGTGGAGCCCAGCGATCACTGATTTAACAAGCCCTCCGGGTGACTGTGAGGCTTGTCCAGGTTCAAAAACCGCTGCTGTGGAGAAACAAAGGTTCAGAAGAGGAGAAGGGTGGAGGAGTGGAGCAGAGAGTAGCCTCTGTCTTGCCAAACTCCCCTTCTCAGCTCCTTCTTTGTAGCTCTGTGGGACTGGTCACCTGGGTCACTTCCCCACCCAGAAACTACATCAGGAAGTCAGAAACTCTGGCCTCTGGAAAATCCCAGAGACCCAGGAACCTGTCCTCTGCCACAAATCAGGAGTCAGGAGACTCTACAACTACTACCACCATGAAGGATAAGCCATGGACCAAAGGAGGCTGGGAATACCCTGGCCACTGGACTCCAGAAACTTCAGGGATTACCTAAATTACCTCCAGGGGAAAACAACATCAAACGTGAAGATTCCCCCTCCAGACACTAGGGGGAGACCCAATGCTGGCCCCTGGAAGAAGAGGGAAAGTCTTAGGTGGAATGGACTATTCCCAAAGTTGGTTGCTGGTGACCTTTGGTTGCTAAATCAACCAAACCGAAGCCAGTGCTTTGAAAAGAAAGATGTGACGGATTCACAGTGGTGAAACTGAGGAGTGCCACAACATCTTCCTGTCTCCCCACCTGGAGCCCAATGTCCAGTTAAGAAGATAGGTTGGAGAGGGCCGGGGTCACAGCTGGTCTGTGACTGCAGACTCAGGCTCCAAGATCCAGGAATCCTGGCTTCCCCTGATTTCCCACTCACAAGATGGGGCTGTCTTCATGGGCAAAGGTGCTGGCCAGGACCCACTAAATAATTTGCAGAACCCAGAGCGAAAAGAAAACGTTATGACCCACTGTTCAAAAATTAAGGCTTTTAGGGCAGGGACCACAGTGTCATGGTGCTAGTAGCAAAGCGACTCTCAGGCCAGCTCCTGGAGAGGCAGCGAAGGTACCTAGATCCCTCATGGCCCACTTGTCAGTTCCAGTCCCACTTGTCAGTGTTTTTCAATGTGGCTTGAAAAATGCATCCAGCACACGCGTATGCGTGCCCCAAATCCAGAGAGGAGAAGGAAAGATAAGGGATTACAGTATGGCCACCGGTGGGGGGCGGGTAAAGGTGGAGGTGGAGATGATTTCTCTCTCTCTGCA